TTATTATCATCATTATTATTATTAGTGGGCGTATTTTGATGACTTAAAGCATTTTAAAATGTAGTCAATAAAATACCATTAAATGCTTTTAAAATGCCCTAAAAACAAAGAAAAATGATGGGAAAAAAATTGATCAAATCCACTTCAGATGAACAATTCAAGTAGTTGGATTTGTTACTGATGTATGCGATGCATTTTCCTTTTGTTCAAGTGAACTCAGCTTGCAAACTTTAGGTTTGGACTGTTTTTTAAAAGAAAATCTTGGCCTGCATTGTATGCAAAATCGGCCGAACTGACATTCGCATCGATAGGCGTCACAGGACCTTAGATTATATAGTACTCTCAACGGCTGACATTACAATATACGAGTTAAAGAAATCAAATAAGCTACTCAAAAGTTCTGTGGTGAACATTTGATGCATCACGTAATATTGTTTGAAACAAGTACCATTAAAATGAATGAAAATTAAAATATATTGTTCAAGTTCAATCAGTTATTAAAGAATTTGCAATCAACTGATGTTTCAAGTCAAGGGATTTGGCGGTCTAACAATACTTGCAGTTTGTTCAGACATCGATATTATAAAAATAACAACAAAAAATAATATATTTGTAGTTGCTTTTGAAATACAATGGGTTAAATGTTTTGTATATTTCCCCCTAAAGCGATGTTATCTGCTAGCAATATTGTGTCTGTAAAACACATTTTCAATAGTTTATGCTTTAGTCTTCAGTTATATTTTACCGTAAGACGAATTTTACTTTCGTTTCTATGATCTATTTCTAGTTTAATACAATATCTCACTATTCAATTTCGTTTTTTCATCATCTTGTCTTTTGCGCGTTCGCCTTTTGCGGTATTACCCTTTATCATTTTCCTTTTATTAATCAGTAACTTCTTATTACTCCAACCATATTAATGTTTTCTGCCAACAATATAACATTTTCATTTATTACTGTTCTCCCTGAACATTTAACGAACCGCAGTCTTTGACCGCAAATCACATTAATTGAGTGAAGTCCGTACACGTGTTTCAAAATGACCTCAAAAATTGCGTTATACGAAGTATAATGAAAAGGATTTGAAAAATGGCAAATTTCCAATATCCATTTGGAAGGGTTCAATACTACTAATCATATTTACTAAACTTGTGAAAAAACTCAGGCAAGGGCGGATGCCGTTGCCGGCCTACGTTCAGGTAGTTAGTGCTCAAAAGTATGCAGTTTTGTGCCTTACAATTATATATTACAAATCACCCAAAACTGGTTATTTGAGAACAAAACAAAGTCATCTTTGAAAAATTTCTTATCGTAACCAATGTCAGTAAAATTGTAAAACTGAAACGCAATTTTCATAGGCAGGCTACTTATTTTGGAAACTATTTATTTGATTTGAAAGAGTATGTTCTGAATTTTTCTGAAATGAATTTTTTATTGCTACAAAGCTAGAAATTGTTGCACTAGTGTTTATACTCCGATTTAAACATAGTAGTACTTCAAAATCCCGAGCTGGTCAGAGAACGGGACACTTTCATCCAATCGAGAGTTTCGTTACGACTTACATTTTGGGTACTGGATCTCTCAATTGGATGACAATGTCCCCCTCTCCGTCTAGCTCGTATGTCCTTGAAGTGCCACTATGCCTAAATTGAGGTACAGTCTTGCAAGAGTGCAAGAGTGAAACAACGCCTACGGCTTTCTCTCTATCTTTTGCATATTCAGCACCCTCCGAATAGGACTTTTCCGAGTCCCTGGCAGCAATCTACTATCGTTGCTTCCCCCACCTCCTGAACCCCGCAGCCTCGCGCCGTAGGCATCCTCTTACCTTGGCCAAGTCATTCCACTTGCGTTGAGATCCGACGCGCCCCCCCCCGCCCTTTCCTTCACTCACGTGCCCTTCGCCCTTTGCCCTTCCGACCCTCTCCCTCCCCGCCACCGCGGAGTGTCTTTAAAAAGTTCCCGTTCCCGGGGCCGCGCCCGGGTAAGACATTAGTGCACCGATAATTTAGGCTCCTCTTGTTAGCTCGGGTTCCATTAGGGAAACGAGGCTTGTTATTAAATCGTCAAACACGCCGAAGTGCCTCGTTCGTACCAGGGGCGTCATCCACAACCGAAGTCGACGGGCGCTGGTCCCACAGGCGACCATGGTTGTTGTTTCTAACAATATCTTGTTATTCAAGGACTCAGTTTATTTGTAGAAACGATGTGATTTTTTCACTAATTTCTTTAAAGTTGTGAGTCCTCTTCCTTTTCGTAGAAATGTGCGATGAAATCCAACATAATGTTTAGTGGCAATTTGTGGTAAAAATGTTTCACAGAGATTTTACTATTGCCATGAAAACTACCACTTAGCTGTAATTGTAGTAAATAACTTATATAAATTTAGTGCATCAAGTCATTTAATGTCAATCGCTCATCTGCAATTGTTTGCTTTAAATAGAGAGGTATATCATATATTAATGACAAATCAATATTTACTGTCTCGTGCTTTTCTATTATATCACTCGCCATTTTTTGACTGTCACAAAGACAGATTTATCTCATTTGACTTTTTTCCGAAAATTGACATCCAATTGGCATTTATCGCGCAAATTCCAATTTGCGTTGCAAATTGGGTTTCTTACGTCATCAATCCAATTGACAGATTCATGTAATTTCTGGTTCTAACGCTACTACGCAAAAACTACGTAATTTCGTTCCACGCGACAGGTGATCGCATTGTTGGTGAGGTACAACCCCCCACCCCCCGAACACGACCTGTCATTAGTCGCTGTGTGTGAAAGGGATCTAAACCCGACACCCATACAGCAACAGAAATCCACTTAGCCCTGAAGCAGGAACCAGTGAAGGGGCGTAAACGGATATTGGAGACCGCGCGTGGCAACCGCAAACCTATCACTTAACAACTCGCCGGCATTACATAACGTTTGTTTACGGGCCCCGCGATTGGCTGGTGCGGACTCCCAGAATGCATTGCGGCGCGGACGTTCTGCTCTGCTTCGCCGGAAGTGCTGCGCCGAAAACAAGGCGATATTAACTCGCGGCAATAACTTGTGACTGATGTCCGTTAGTATATCGACAGTTGCGCAGCGTAGCTCAGCGCTGCGTATGGACTGTTTGGTACACGTGTTGGAAGGTCGGTGCCCCTGCAACTCCACGTTTTCATGGAAGAAATAAACTGCTCATTTCGAAGGTCTGCAGGGGTCAGTTTATCACGGTTTTGGAGAAAATATGTTTTAATTTACATATTTACATTTTTTGCTTAATTTATATAATACAGCTTTTATTAAATAAGTTCAAAGCGGATATCGAACTTAATGGAAGTAATCGCTAACTGAAATTATTTCACAGAACTACAGTGAAAATTGTATTTATAAAAACAATTCTAAGGCTGCTTAACTCTTCCTTTGAAGATTTTGTAAATTATTACTGGCTTCCCTTTCAAAGAAAGTATTTGAAAAAATAGAAAATAATAAACTGGCGAAACCGGAGCTTGATATTTGCATTCAGAAAAATTACACTCGTAAATACTTTTTCAGCGAGGTGATAATTGCTAACAAAACTTCCGAGTATTAAGGCAGATTTACTTTTCATCTAGATAATGTCATCAACACACATCCCTACATACCTGCTTTTAAGAATTTAATTAATCAAAGAGCTCATTAGTGTGTAGTTGGGTTCTTCATTTTTTCATGTGAGATAAATATATTTACTTTGTATATTTATACATGTCATATTTACATAATGCTCGTGTCTAATGAGAATGTGCGAAATTCAAACGCAAAAACACACATTAATTAAAAACTGTACTGCCTGGGTATAAATTAATGTTCAGCAACTTCAAGAGAAAAATTATGTAACCAAAGTATTGCTAAAAAAATTCCCAGAGATAATTAATAGTAAATATATAATTTTAATTTATCATATGACATTGTGAAATACCTGTCTAGTATGTACTTCATTCGATGCTTATTAATCTTGTGAAATGAACTTTTTTGATATTTTTAGACAAAATGGGTTTATTTATACTCTGACGTCTAATATTCTGAAATCCAGTTCCCCAAATATTCTATTCAGGGTCTTAATCCTCAAATGAAAGCTTTTGCGAATTATTAGTAATTCTACAACCAGCCTCATTCATTTTCAGGGAATTCTAAAATATTTCTCCCCTTTATTATTAATAATCCTCGGTCAAAATTATTTATCCGCCTGCAGTATGCATTCGCAGTATCTAGTAGACATTCGTGTATATCTTCGGTGACAAAATGACTTTCTTCGTTTCCCTATCAACTTCTAAGATTAGTCTGGGGATTATTATAATAAAGTGTAAATATTGTAAAACCAGAGTCGTATTTTTGGTAGTCAAGTTGTGATATGATAAAAATATGAAATAAAAATATGAAATAATGCTTTTGATTCTATTTCACTACTTTCAAGAGGAGCTCATTGTAGTGAAAATTGCCATATTGCAATTCGCTGTATTGCCAGCAGAAATTGGTAGTACTACTTCGAATATTTTTAATCGATTTTGTCATAACTGATAAGTAATATTTTGAATATTTAGTAAAACCTTTGGGGAAGAAAGTGTTATTTAAACATTCCTACATGCTTTCAATTATAAAAGAGGTTGCTGTTGATGTTACATTTTCTGAAATAATTATTTGATTAGAGCTTGAAATAGGTCACACGTTTTGTGAAGTTGCCATGAACAAGATTTATTAAGTTGAAGTTCACATTTATTTAATTCGTAATAATATATTCTGTGATTATACCTCTTTTTAATTAACACCTGTGTAATTTGATAGTAATGAAACTAACTGTGCCAAACTCTGAGAAAATATGAGCATTATGCAGAAGTCCTAAAGAAAAAGGAAAGTAGGCTTTTTAGTGAAATGAAAACTTGAAATAAAAAAGGAAGTAAGTGTCATTTCATTTCAATAAACATTTTTTACCAGAATAATGATGAATGAATCAACCCCTATAACGTAAATAAAAACTAAATTCCAAAATTCCATTTCTTGATAGTGCTACGGGGTGATTATAAATGGCAGGAGTGGTGTATGTCAATAGGTTTAACGTATATAATAAACTCATTTTTCCTGAAAGTGTGAAAATGGCACTTTCATTCATTTCTTATTCCAAGCCTTTAAATTAGTCGTTTTTAGCCTTTAAATTAGGTATTTTCAATTATTCAAAGCAAAATCCATCCCAATCTGATAATAAATAGAGGTCTCTTGGTTTGCATACAGTTTCTTTGACCACTAAGCCACCGATACATTTAATGCTTAATTAGACCTGCTGTTTACTTCTTTATTTGATACTCAGTTGTCAATGCCTTCTCACCTTGTTACAAGGTGACGGTAGAGTGACAACAGATTATTTAATGGAAGTATTTCATGCAGAAAACGAGACAATTGGGCTTTTATGTATTTTATGACACTTTATTGACTCTATAATGACTAAGAAAGTTTCATCAAAACACATACTTTTTCCCTTCATCTATATACGTACAATGGTAGTAAAAACAATTACAAAGAATTTTATTTTTCATCGTGGATGACAACAAAGAAATTACACATGCAAAATTCCCGCTGTCACTGTGAATGATCTACGTACTTATGTGAACTTTCATCATCAGTTAGGGACGCGACATTCATTCGTATACTCTGATTAATCACTTGACCAACTATTTTGATTCTTAATTAAGCCCAATTATCATGGGGCCTGGTCGGTGAATAACACGTAATAATGGTTTACATTCAAATGACATTTTGGGGCTGTAGTACTCTCCATCATTTTGTCATTCCACCAACTGGAAAATGTTGGTTTGAAACAAATGTATTTATGTAGATAGAATGCAAGAAAAATACACTTCAGACCTATTTTAAGAGATATTACTGTCGCAGATAATTCATTGATTATGAATGTTATATTGCTGATTTACTTGAATGCACAATAAAAGAAAACAGCACCAGCTTTTTGATAACACTGTCCAACCAAAACAATCTAATATTTCCTTCACTTTATAAGTAAAATATTACTAAGTTTGGGTTGATAAAAACGAATATGACAAAACGAATGTTTAAATGTTTGTTAGCTCTTGTTTTTGTTATATCCAATAGATTGAAATATTTTATTTTAACATATTAAGAGAAAACAAAATTTTAATAATATATGCAAACAATATTGAAAGTTCACTTGAATATATTTAAATGACAGTTATAAATAAAAGGTTATGAATTACTGGCAATATAAGATTGCTGATTTTGAAGAGAATTATGTGGTAGCTTTATGAGATCGCCATCTTTTGGTTTCCCTTTTGTGAGTTCCGGAACATCCGTACGTATAGACTAGTAGTTCTTTGCAAGCATTGCTCCATTCCAACCGCCCTGATATCTTTGTTCCATTTAGATAAATAAATAGAGATATTGTCAGGTATCAATATACCTGACAATATCTCTATCTATATTGATCTATCTCTATCTATATTGATACCTGACAATATCTCTATTTATTTATCAAAATAAAAAAGGTATCTACTTCACAACATCCAATTAATTTGTTCCATTTAATAAATGTCCTGATGGAATCTTTCTCCATTTCATCACGGAGGGGAAAGTTAATGGGAAGTGGTAATAAAATTGATTTTAAGGGACATGTTTTTTTTTTAATTTATTGTTTACCTGTTCAACATACATGTTTTTCAGGGTTGTGAATACAATCATACATAACTTTTGGTTTATTCCTAACTGTGGGTGCCCTCGACGGATGCATAAGTTGTTTCTTGGTGTATATTATTATTTTTTTATTAATAATTAAATTATTACGGTAAGTATATTAAGAGTACAGAGACTGATCGTTATATGATTATTCGATTAAAGGTTATATTATTTGAGGCCCATTTCTGGTATTTTATGGTGTCTGAATCGGTCTTTAGTAAGCCGGATTGATGCGAAGTCGGTTCTGCTGTGCGTCCATGTTGAAAATGGAGCGTGCTGTTGGAGATGAGGGGAGTGATGATTGAAAAATCTTCGCACAGTTTGGTAATGTGTTCTTTAGTGTCGAATTTGTAGTTCGTGGTGGATTTGCTTTCGAAATAAACCATGCGCATTTATTATAGTTCTTGGCGCTTTATTTTGTATAGTTTGCAAACAGTTAATATTAGATTGCTGCATTTCCCTATATTGGCATGCATAAGTCATAGTTGTCGAATTAAAGCTGTGTAAATATCATTCCGTCTCTATTTTTAAGGGAGGATTTTTTGTTAATTAGTGCGTAAAGTTGGAAGTTTTGCTTGGTTTTTGTTCGTGTTGTGTAAATGTGTGTTTTCCTAGTGAATTTAGTATCAAGTT